GCGGGCGCGGGCACCGGGCGCGGGCGGCAAAGCTTCCCCCTGGGAACTGCCCCTCTCGCCCCGCCCCGCAGGGCATCGCTGCCCGTGCGCTAACCGGTTCCCGTGTTCCAGCTCCGCAACGACCCACTGTCCGTCCCACCCGCCGCCGCTTGCGATGTGATGAATCGAGCCAACACGGCAAAAGGGAAAGTTCTTGGGGCTTCTGTTTGATTATTCCAATGATTGGTTTCATCCGAGTCAAACGGAACGTGGTACAAGGTCAAATTCCAAATTTGAAATCCACATCTTCACCAATTGGTGAAGATCAACCCACGTTGCCAACCCTGGCAGTGTTCAAGACCAGGCTGGATGAAGACCTTGAGCAATTTGATCTAGTCAGGTGTCCCTACCCACGGCATGGGGTTAGGACTAGGTGATCTCTAAGGTCCATTCTAACCCCTAAAATTCTATGATTCAATATTTAAGCCTGACCTAGAACAAACATGTTTTTCTTCTGGGCAGCAGTAATCAAAGCAGCTCAATGCAATGTGCATGGTGGTGATACGGCATATGAACCCTCCTACCCAACCCCACACGTGTTCCTACCACTGACACAGCTCAGAATTTGTGTGAACTTCAGTCTGTAGCAGGGCTGATGCATCAGTAAGTCCATAGCTAGGATTCAATCCCCTCTGAAGACATGGATGCTGCAGTGTGGCAGTGAGACTGCTCACCAATATGAAGTTTTGGCAATGGTTTCTCTATAAGCAATAACAAGCCCTTCTGCTCAGTCACTGCTTAGTTCATCTATAGCAACTGCAGACACAAAACTGCCCTTGAAACCCTTATCCAGTGATAAATACTGTGATGTATCTCATCCACAACAGAACCTATTGCAAGCACATTGAATCCCACCTGGATTATCATATGACAGAATTCTTAAGTCTCATTCACACTCCTGGTTTTCTTCAAAACCTAAGACCTGGCTACAAAAGGCCAAGAAAACCTTCTGAAATGTAGACGTCTTTTCCCTCTCTTGGGACCAGCATGCAGGCAGCCTCTCTCCTTCCAGCTGACTTCACACAACTCTTGCACTGGGATTCATAATGGATACACAGTCACAAGAGAGAGGAGGTATCAGACCCTGCTCAGCCCTCAAGTACCTCCATTGAAGGCTCCAAGGAGTATGCAGGAGCAGATATTGTGGCAGAGCAGCTGGAGGTCTCTAGACAGAG